GTTGGCGCCCAGTGGCGCCGCGTGATCCATCGCCACTGCCATTCGAAGCCATTTTGGCGCAGAGGTTCATCGGCGTGGCGTTCCTTCCAGCGCCATGCCGAGAGGTCAGTGCCCTCGCCGCGGCCCCGTCGGCGATGCTGACACCGTTGGGTTGGCCAAGGCGCTCGACGCATACGTCGAGGCCAACGTGGACGAGAATGAGGACGGCTGCGTCCTGCGGCTCTTCGACCTTGGCGAGTACATGCAGAGGGCGGGCGCTGTGAGCAATAAGAACCCTCCGAAGCTCCGCACCTTCGCCAAGAACGCCGAGGTGCTCAAGATGCTCGCGAGGTTCAGCGCCTTAGGTGGCGGCAACGTGAATCACGACGAACTGAGGAAGGTGTTCGCTGGTGTGCTATCGGGTCGCAACTCGGCGACGTACTTCAGGCAGGGTGTTCAGCAGACGGCGGACATGTTGAGCAACAGGTATCGTTTGATGATTTCGGACGTGGCTGCGATTACAAGCAGGAAGCACGCGTTTAAGGGCCTCTCCGGTGTCTTGCCAGATCGCGTCAAGTCGTCCCTCACAGCGCTGCTGAACGAGATGGTTACGATCCGTGACTTGCGGCGCCAGGCGATCACGGACGGCTTGGAGGAGGACTGCGACTTAGGCGGCGACTCCTTCGGCGGCGGCGAGGCGTGGGGCGTCAGCCAGGCCCAGGCGGTGCCCGACGACAAGGGCGAGGGCGCCGCGGCGGTGGCAGACGACACGGAGGAGGCGCCCAGGGGGGGACAGGGCAGGAGCTTGGACCAGGAGGGGTGGGGAGGGCTGGGGCGGGTGCCTGTGGGCACGACGGGGTGGGCCCTGCGGAGGATGAGGAGGATGAGGGTGAGGAAGAAAAGGACGGCGGCGACGACGACGACGACCACGACCACGACGACGACGACGACGCCGACCACGACGACGACGACGACGACGACGACGACGACGACGACGACGACGACGACGACGACGACGGCGACGACGACGACGACGACGACGAGCGACGGACGACGGACGACGGACGACGGACGACGAACGACGCACGACGAACGACGAACGACGGCGGCGCGCCCGCGCCCCGCAGGCGGCTCAGGCGGGCCCGATCGGCGACGAGGACAACGGCGGCGTGCAGGGCGTCGGCGGCACGCAGTTTGAGTTCGATGTGGCAGCGGGGTTCGACTTCTTGCGGGTGCTGCGGTGCTCGGGCACGGTGTCCAATCTAGCAGCTGAGATTGGTTTTGCCCCTCGCGGGGTCAAGAAGGCAATGAAGACTGCCAAGGCCGTGACGGCGACGATCCCCATGAAGGCGGTGACCCCCATGAAGATGGCGACGGTCCCCATGAAGGCGGCGACCCCCATGAAGGGGGCTGCTGACAAGTCGTGGTGGAAGGAGCCTCTGACGAAGGTCCGCATCGTGAATGCGGCCTCGCCCAAGCGGACGTACATCGTCGGCGCCACCAAGAAGGAGAGCAAGATGCGGTTGGTCGCGGAGATCACCGAGAAGCAGAGCAAGGCGCACTCGAAGCTGATTCACCGCATCGCGGCGCAGGTCGAGAAGCTCAAGCTGTCCAAGGATGGCGCGCAGAGGCTCCGAGCCGAGTTGCTTGGCTAGACATCTACAGCGCTGGAGGCCAGCACACTTGGGCGGGGGCGAGAAGCGACAGCAGGCTTTGGCGCCGCTCGGCGAGACGCTGGACGGGAAGTTGGAGTTCGACGTCGCTTATTGCCCCGTTGGGTGGCTCAGCTTGGAGCCAGCATGCTATTTGACACGGGGGCTGCTTTTGCGTTTGAAAAGATTGCCCGTGTATTGGTTGCAATGTATTCTGAGACGCTACGCGTCCCCTATTCAGTGACGCTTCGCGTCTCGGCACTGCTTTAGGGTTCCACGATTCCTGTGGGCTCCTGGGTCGCCTGGCAGTTCGGAGGTGTTGTCATAATTATCCCGGCAAAGCAACCTAACAGCGATGTGTAGGAGCATATCTGGAAGCATTCCCCTTAAGATTCAACTGAGAACCCAGTTGTAGAATTCTGCTGTTCTCGCAGTCGTAGTCGCATTCGCGATGACAGTCGCAGCGGCAACGGCAGTCGCAGTCACAGCCTCAGCCTAAGTCTGCCTCAGCCTCAGCCTCAGCCTGCCTCAGCCTCAGCCTCAGCCTGCTTCAGCCTCAGCCTCAGTCTGCCTTCAGCCTCGGCCTCAGCCTCAGCCTGCCTCAGCCTCAGCCTGCATCAGCCTCAGCCTCAGCCTCAGCCTGCCTCAGCATCAGCCTGCCTCAGCCTCAGCCTCAGCCTGCCTCAGCCTCAGCCTCAGCCTGCTTCAGCCTCAGCCTCAGTCTGCCTTCAGCCTCGGCCTCAGCCTCAGCCTGCCTCAGCCTCAGCCTGCATCAGCCTCAGCCTCAGCCTCAGCCTGCCTCAGCATCAGCCTGCCTCAGCCTCAGCCTCAGCCTGCCTCAGCCTCAGCCTCAGCCTCAGCCTCAGCCTCAGCCTGCCTCAGCCTCCTCAGCCTCAGCCTCAGCCTCAGCCTCAGCCTCAGCCTCAGCCTGCAGCCTCAGCCTCAGCCTCAGCCTCAGCCTCAGCCTCAGCCTGCAGCCTCAGCCTCAGCCTCAGCCTCAGCCTCAGCCTCAGCCTCAGCCTGCCTCAGCCTCAGCCTCCTCAGCCTCAGCCTCAGCCTGCAGCCTCAGCCTCAGTCTGCCTTCAGCCTCGGCCTCAGCCTCAGCCTGCCTCAGCCTCAGCCTCAGCCTCAGCCTCAGCCTGCCTCAGCCTCAGCCTGCCTCAGCCTCAGCCTCAGCCTCCTCAGCCTCAGCCTCAGCCTGCTTCAGCCTCAGCCTCAGTCTGCCTACAGCCTCGGCCTCAGCCTCAGCCTGCCTCAGCCTGCATCAGCCTCAGCCTCAGCCTCAGCCTGCCTCAGCATCAGCCTGCCTCAGCCTCAGCCTCAGCCTGCCTCAGCCTCAGCCTCAGCCTGCTTCAGCCTCAGCCTCAGTCTGCCTTCAGCCTCGGCCTCAGCCTCAGCCTGCCTCAGCCTCAGCCTGCATCAGCCTCAGCCTCAGCCTCAGCCTGCCTCAGCATCAGCCTGCCTCAGCCTCAGCCTCAGCCTGCCTCAGCCTCAGCCTCAGCCTGCCTTCAGCCTCAGCCTCAGTCTGCCTTCAGCCTCGGCCTCAGCCTCAGCCTGCCTCAGCCTCAGCCTGCATCAGCCTCAGCCTCAGCCTCAGCCTGCCTCAGCATCAGCCTGCCTCAGCCTCAGCCTCAGCCTGCCTCAGCCTCAGCCTCAGCCTGCTCAGCCTCAGCCTCAGTCTGCCTTCAGCCTCGGCCTCAGCCTCAGCCTGCCTCAGCCTCAGCCTGCATCAGCCTCAGCCTCAGCCTCAGCCTGCCTCAGCATCAGCCTGCCTCAGCCTCAGCCTCAGCCTGCCTTCAGCCTCAGCCTCAGTCAGGCCTTCAGCCTCGGCCTCAGCCTCAGCCTGCCTCAGCCTCAGCCTGCCTTAACCTCAGCATCAGCCTGCCTCAGCATTCAAAATGTGGTCCGGGAATTGAATTCTGGGAACTCGAAGAACACGAAGTGGCCTACAGCTGGCCCCGGGCATTCAAAATCATGCCCAGGAATGGAGTTCTGGGAACTCGAAGACCACGAAGTGGCCTACAATTGGCTCCGGGCATTCAAAATGTGGCCCGGGAGTGGAGTTCTGGGAACTCGAAGAACACGAAGTTGCCTACAGTTGGCTCCGGGCATCCAAAATGTACGCCGGGAATGGAGTTCTAGCAGCGCCAAGAGCGATTTTGCGAGGATGTCCCAAGCGATTTGGGCTTCGATGGCAGCCGCCCCGGGTCCCGCCCCGACCCCCCTGAGGAGTCATGATGCTCTCTTTTGACCCTACTAGAAACCTATCAGTCTTCGCTGTTAGGTAAAAAAACGCCCAATTAGGAAGTCGCTCCTGAAGCCTCCAATGAGGGGACCGTCCTAAGATCGCTCCTGAAATTAGGGTGGCGATGTTGAAAATGATGATTAGGATGAGGGCGACGACGGCGACGACGACGACGACGACGGGACGACGGAGCTTGGGAACTTAAGTGCACGGCGACGGGGGCTACACCATGGCTACCGCCACTCCGACGCCCCCTACCGAGACGCCGTCAGCCCCAAGACGGCACAGGGGAGGCACATGAGCACCCCAAGAGGCACTTTGGACAGCGCGCAGAGTGCCGTCGCCCGAGATGCATCGCGGATGCTGCTATACATCCTCCCACGGGGGCCAAGCCATGGCTACCGCCACTCCGACGCCCCACCCCCCCGAGACGCCGTCAGCTCCAAGACGATGGGGGCCCAATATCACCCCCAAGAGACACCCTAGAGAGCGCGTAGAGTGCCGTCGCCCAAGGTGCATCGCGCATGCTGCTAAACGCCCTCCCACGGGGGATTCACCATGCCGTGGCTACCGCCACTCCGACGCCCCCCTCCCGAAGCGCCGTCAGCTCCAAGGCGGGCGACTCGACGACCTCGACCTCGACGACGACGACGACGACGACGGCGGCGACGACGACGACGACGACGACCGTGCCGACGACTCGCCCCCTCCTCTTTGAAACTGCATATACAAGTGCTCCCCCTCCGCATCCCTTTTCCCCCTGCCTCGCCTCCGGGACTGCTTGAGCGCGTTCCAGGACGCCCCAATACGGTTCCAAGGCGCGTGAATTGTGAGGAAGTCTCGAGCGAGAGCACCGTCCCAATGTTTGGGTGGGCCTCTCTGGACAGGGCGTATCGGAGTAAACTGCGAGGAAGTACCGAGCGGGGGCCGTTGTCGTCGTTGTCGGGCATCCGCCAAGTTGAATGAATTGCGAGGACGTCTCGAGCGAGAGCGCCGTTCCTGTGTTAGGGGGGCTCTCTGGCGGCGTGGTTATGCACCGCCCCCCCAATGCCTCATGCGTGATTGCTTCATGCCCAGCGTTGTTTTACAAACAGCATCTTGCGCCCAAGCATTTCATTTCGCCCATGGCGTTCGATTTTGGCGACAGCTCGTTCGCTATCGGATCAGCTCTATCCGAAGATGCATCCTCAGAGCAGCAATGGCGGAGGGGCGTGGCGCGTCATGCTATGAGCCACGGCGGTGCCAACCAGAGGGCATTCGCCGCCGCGGGGTCGGATGCCCCTGTGTCCGACGACCGTCTAGGGATCTACCTGATCCAGGAGTTCAGCTGGGGCACCTACACGGCGATCGACTGCAACCGCATTGCGGTCCTTGCCACCACGGACGGCGCTACGGGTGACCTTCTCGGCAAGATCGCTGGCGTGGGCACTCGCGGGCAGAACAAGCAGAACTGCCATCGAGAGCTCATCACGATTTGCCAGCACCTACCCGGAGGCAAAAAGTTTGATGTCGCATCGTGCAGGTTGCCTATGGTCGTCACGACGGGCGAAGATATCGGACCGCAGCCAGTTATACATGGCTACATCGACCCCCACGAGTGGTTTAGCTTCCTGTACCACAGTTTCAGGGATTCGTGGACAGCTCGTTTTCTTGGGAAGGGCCCGAGCGAAGTGACATTGCGAGACTTCTGGGCTGGCATGCACCCTCGGGACCCCCGCAGGCCTACGGACTACAATAGGCAGTACTTCTACACGAAAGCAATCCCTATTGGCTTGCATGGGGATGGAGCGCCAGTCAATCGGCTTCTTGGGTTGATGTCTATCGTCTGGTTCGGAATGTTTGGTTCAGGGTCGACCGACGACGTGCTGAACTTGATATCGTGTTACTTCGGCGAGCTGGAGGTCGGCAATTTTCACGATTACGAAGGCGAGACAACAAAAACTACGTTCTGGAAGCGGATCATCTGGAGCCTCAACGCCCTTCGGACTGGGAAGTTTCCGCACAACGACTGGGAAGGCAAACGGATCGTCGGAGACAGTCGGTGCGGCAAGGACTTGGCCGATGGTTATTTCTGCCATGTCATGTTGCTCAAGGGCGACATGGAGGTTTCTCGTCAACCACGCCGGCGTCCCTGGGCACTGGAGCTCGAACCACCCTTGCTGCGCGTGCGAGGCCACGAAGATCGGAACGGGCGCGACCGCTTGGAACAACTGGGACCCTGGTGCGCCATGGCGGGACACAGTCTTCCTGCAGAAGGCCAGGTGGCGAGCACACTGCGTGAAGATGAAGAAGGACGTGCACGCCTTATTTCGGGAGCCTGACGACGGCGGTCTAGACTTGCACCCTTTCATCATGATGCGTGACACCTTGCACGCGCTGGGTCTCGGCGACGCCCTGCACGTTACTGGCAATACATTGTTCCACATGTGCTACAGCGACATGGTCAAGGCACACGACCCCGTGGGTGCATGCGCGTGGATTTGGAGTGAGGTTTCCCGAGTCTACAAGGCCGAGAGTACGCCCTCTCGCTTCACATATCTGGACTTGACCTTCTTCACGAATCCAGAGAAGCCAATGGAGAAGGCACCGCTGCTCAAGGGCCACGCCGCGGGGACCAGGCACCTGATCCCAGTGCTCGCGAAGATCTTCAAAGTGAAGCATAGGCCTGCGAACAGGTACGAGGGTCTCATCAGCAAGATGCTCGACAGCCTCACAATGATATACAGGCTCCTCGAGACCGAGGTGGACGGGGAGAGGCCGTTCTTTCTCGACCCCGACACCGTCGTGGCTCCGCTGCGGCAGAACATCGACTTCTTCTTGGCGGCATACCAGCAGTGCCAGGAGATGGGGGAGATGCTGCATGACAGGGCGGACTTTTGGCACGATGTACCGAAGTTCCACGGCCTCTGGCACGTGGGTTACGAGGCGCAGCACATGAACCCCGACGTGGCCAAGTGCTACATCAACGAGGACTTCCAGCTGAAAACGAAGACGTTAGGAGCGTCGGTTCGGCATGGGTCGGTTGCTGCCAAGCGTGCAATCAAGATTTGCCAGAAATGAGCGTACGGCACCCTCTTTAAGATTCAGTTCGCTGGCAAGTAGGCAGCCGCGTCGTGAATGTCGGTCGGTCCCAGCCTGGCGTTTCTGTGCCACGGCAGTGCCCCCTTTCGGGATGAGTTCAAGACCCTCCAGGGCCTCCCCCACAGATGCACCACCCGCCGCAGGGCCCTGCCAGGGCCCCAGGGCCCGCCCAGGCCCTCCCCCCCCAGGCCAGTCCAGGGGCACCGCTCAGGACCCCCACGGGTCCGCCCCTACCGACCTTAACATTTTACAAACTGTTATGGTTGTAGCCGTCGCTCAGCTAACATGTTGCAAAATGTTATGGAAGACGAGTTGAACATGTCATAACATATTAGGGTGCATTATCAACATTATACAACATGTTAATAGCGTAAGCACAGTTTCACAACATGTTGTTAACATGTTGAGGGTCGGGGCCTCTGAAACACAACGTGTTATTAACATGTTGAGGCTCGGGGCTTCGGGGTGCGAAACATTGTACAGCATGTGTCGCGGGCGACCGACTCGCGATGTAACATTTCAGAACATGTTCTTGCAGGCGCCGCCTGCGCGATAACATTTTGCAAAATGTTGAGCTGTGCCGCCAGGCAGCCGAGCCCCCCCCCCGACTGCCGTGAGCTCGCCGCGCGGTCTGACAGGCGGGGCGGGCGGCCGAGCCGACTGGCGGCACGGCTTAACATTTTGCAAAATGTTTGTGCCCCCCCCCTCCACCAGCGCCTGCTCGCTGGCGGCGTGTCCGACCCTTGTGCCTGCCAGACGTTGCGCTGGCGCTTGCATGTTTCTGGTCGGGGAGCTTTCCGCCAGCCCGACGCGCCAGGCCGCAGTTTTGGAGGCCCGCCAGCCCGAGGCGCCAGCCCGACGCGCCAGGCCCGCGGAGGCGGGCCGCTCAAATGGAGGGCAGACCGACCCAGCGAAGCGAGCTCTTCGGCCCACGGTAGAAACATGCACAATCTCTTGGAAATCGGCACGGCAAATGCGCAGAGAAAAACACACGCCTTGGCGAAATAGGAAAAAAAGACCGGTTTAAACCAACAATCTCCAAAAACACAAGTTTAAACAAACCAAAAACAAACAACATGGCGTGGTGGGCCCAACACTGTGTCTTTCTCTCCTTAGCATGTGGGCCAAGAGGGCCCCAAGAGGACCCCAAGAGAGCTCTAGCAGGCATCACGCCAAACTCCGTCAGACGGAGTTTGGCGAGGTGGCCCAAGAGGGCCCGCAAGACGGCTCCGACCCCCTCGAACCTATTCCACCGACGTGCGTTTGGCGAGGGCGTCGACGACGACGACGACGACGACGACGACGACGACCATGGTGGCGAGGGACGGCGACGGCGTACGACAACGACTACGACGCCCAACGCACGTCGGTGGAATAGGCCCTATGGGCCCAACGGTCGCGGCAAGTGGTTTGAACGTGGCCTGGGCCAATTACGGCACCCATGCGCGCACGAAGCTGTTTCGGGCCAAGTCGGCGCTCGGCCTAGCCTCGTCGCTCACCCGACACTCGCCCCCGATCGGCCTGGACCTTCGCGAGTTGCTCAGAGCGGCATGGCGCCGAAGATGGAGCTCAGGAGGCCCGCTGCGGCGAAGGTGAAGCCCACCGCGAAGGCGATGAAGGCCACGAAACCGAAGGCTGAGGGCATGTTCGCGACGCCAGTGGGCAAGAGGCCCGCCTGCGCCTCGCCCAACTCGTCAAGCCCAGCTTCGCGGTCGACCGACGTGGAGATCGACGGGCAGATCGTCACCATCACGCAGAAGGGCCGCAACCAGTTCAACGCGGCGAAGGCCAACGCGGAGCCCGCCGTCCTCGAGGACCTACGCATCAAGAGCGAGCTCGGCTATGGCCAGGGAAAGCAGATGCAGCTCAACAAGAGGATCGCGGCTTGGAAGCTGAACGGGTGGGACCACCCGATGTTCCAGGAGGTCATCAAGTACTCGGAGAGCATGGTGGCGAAGCAGCGCAAGATCGGCATGGGCTTCGTGAGAGCGAAGCAGTACTTCGGAGGGGCTGCGGCGCTGAAGGAGGCTATCGATAGCAAGGAGTGCGTCGTCAAGAAGATCGACGGCAGGGAGTGGTATTTCGACTCATCGATCCTGGCCGACTTGACGAAGGAGCTGAGGGGGGAAAAGCAGCTGCACGTCAGTGGCAGCATCGAGCTCGACCAGTTGGGCCTCTCCTCCATGCAGAAGTTCCTCGGCGAGGCCGCCGCGGGCTTTGACCTGGGGGCCGACGCCGAGATGTCGGATGACATGATGAAGCGGCTTGAGGATGACGTGTCTCGCGGCCCAGGTCCAGCTCGCAGGAACGTGGACGATGACGAAGCCGAGAAGAAGGACTTCGACTCGGCGGTGGATCGGGCCCGCAACGCGCTCAAGAACCTCCAGGGCCTCCGCAACAAGATCACCGAGCTCGAGGGGGAAGCAAACTCTGGCTCGACGGTTCGCAAGAGCAACATCAAGAAGACCATCGAGAAGGGCAAGGAGATCGACAAGTTGGTCAAGTTCTACCAGGACCTCGCCAGGACCGAGGCCCCCCCAGGCCTCCGCAAGACGACGGCCGAGGACATCCGCAAGAGGATCACGCAGGACAGCAAGGTCGGGAACACCATCGTGGCGATGATCCGCGCGGTCAACGAGCTCGGTGATTGAGGTTGCCCAATGCTCTGCGACGGCAGCGACAGCCACGGCGCCATCAGGCCGCGGCGAGCCTTGGATCAACACAGATGGCAGGCACTCGTGCATCAGCATGCACGGCCACTAGCATCATCATGTGAGCGTTGATTTCTGGCGAGCTACATCTTCAGAGGTGGGTTTAGATTTCTGGCGGGCACCGCCGCGCTTCTCGACGCATTCGTGAAATATTGATGGAGTGCAATTCGGCCCGCGTTGGGCCCTCGGAGTTCCTTGCCACATGCAGTCGTTGTTGGGTCGTGAGTTTGACTGGCGTAGTTGTTTGTGGCGGGGCCCAGCGCGCAACATGTTTTGATATGTTCGCTCGGCAACGGCAGTGAGAACGGGCAACATCAACCGCACTCACCGATGCTGCAATTCACCCTTGCACCAGATGATGTTTAGATGCAATCACAGATGCTGCAATTCACCCTTGCGCAAGGTGAGGTTTAGATGCAACCACCGATGCTGCAATTCACCCTTGCTGCAATTCACTCGCCCACGGATGCTGCACTCACCGATGCTGCAATTCACCCATGCTGCAATTCACCATGTCTCAAGCCTGCCCCGATGCCGCTTGGCAGAATAATGGCGTCGGGAAGCTCCCTTGGCCGCCGCCACTCCGACGCCCCGTGGCTGCCGCCGCGCCGGCGCCCTTTGGAGCCGCCTGGCAGTTCGGGTGTGTCTTCAGAGAATCCACCGCCAATTGGGAAGTCCTGGGGCCTCCACTTGATGTTTGGGGGGGGGAGGGGCTCGTGCTAGGCTCGCACGACGACGACGACGGCGGCGGCGACGACGAAGCCTGGGCACTCTAGGTCACGACGACGGGGCCTACACCCACCATGGCTACCGCCACTCCGACGCCCCCCTCCCGAGCCACCATCAGCTCCAAGACGGCCCAGGGGAGGCCCACGAGTACCCCCCAAGAGGCACCTTGGGGAGCGCGTAGACTGCCGTCGCCCAGGATGCATCGCGGATGCTGCTATGCACCCTCCCAACGGGGGCTACACCGTGGCTGCCGCCATTCCGACGGCCCCCATCCCGAGACGCCGTCAGATCCAAGACGGCACTTGGGGAGGCCCAAGGGTACATCCAAGAGGCAGCCTGGAGAGCGCGCATGAGTGCCGTCGCCCAAGATAAACCGCGGGTGCTGCTATACACCCTCCAACGGTGCCTACGCCGCGGCTACCGCCATTCCGACGCCCCCTTCCGAAGTGCCGTCAGCCCCAAGACGGGCGACTCGACGACCTCGACGACGACTGCGACGACGACGACGACCACCGCCGCGACGACGACGACGACGACGCCACTTGTGGGCCCGACCTTTCATAAATATTTCGAGAATAGGTGGAGAGGGCCCCAAGAGAGCTCTAGCAGGCATCACGCCAGACTCCGTCAGACGGAGTTTGGCGAGGTGGCCCAAGAGGGCCCGCAAGACGGATCCGACCCCCTCGAGACGGCTCCAGGGGGGCCCCCAGGCGGTCCCATGAGCCCCCCAAAAGGGTTCCAAGAGGGCCCCAAGAGGACCCCAAGAGAGCTCTAGCAGGCCTCACGCCAAACTCCGTCAGACGGAGTTTGGCGAGGAGGTGGCCCAAGAGGGCCCGCAAACGGCTCCGAACCCCTCGAGGCGGCCCCAAGAGGGCCCCCAGGCGGCCCCATGAGGCCCCCCAAGAGGGTTCCAAGAGGGCCCCAAGAGGACCCCAAGAGAGCTCTAGCAAGCATCGCGCCAAACTCCGTCAGACGGAGATTGGCGAGGTGGCCCAAGAGGGCCCGCAAGACGGCTCCGACCCCCCCGAGACGGCCCCAGGGGGGGGCCCCAGGCGGCCCTATGAGGCCCCTCAAGAGGGTTCCAGGAGGGCCCCAAGAGGACCCCAAGAGAGCTCTAGCAGGCTCACGCCAAACTCCGTCAGACGTAGATTGGCGAGGAGGTGGCCCAAGAGGGCCCGCAAACGGCTCCGAACCCCTCGAGGCGGCTCCAAGAGGGCCCCCAGGCGGCCCCATGAGGCCCCCCAAGAGGGTCCCAAGAGGGCCCCAAGAGGACCCCAAGAGAGCTCTCGCAAGCATCGCGCCAAACTCCGTCAGACGGAGTTTGGCGAGGTGGCCCAAGAGGGCCCGCAAGACGGCTCCGACCCCCCCGAGACGGCCCCAGGGGGGCCCCCAGGCGGCCCCATGAGGCCCCCAAGAGGGTTCCAAGAGGGCCCCAAGAGGACCCCAAGAGAGCTCTAGCAGGCATCACGCCAAACTCCGTCAGACGGAGTTTGGCGAGGTGGCCCAAGAGGGAACCCAGGCGGCCCCATGAGGTCCCCC